GGGAGGAGATGTGGGGGGCGGGCGGCGTCGGGAGCCGGGGAGGAGGTCGGGGGCTAGCGGCGCCGGGCGGAGGCGAAGGATCTGGAGGGCGGCAGCGAAGGGACGAAGGGCGGCGGCGGGCGAACGAGGGCAGAGAGTCGGGCGACGGTTTCTCGCTCGAGGCACGATACCTCGGTCGTACGTGCGGGAGTTTGGTCAGCGATTTTTTTTCGTTGGTTAATCTTCGCCGGTTTGCTTTCGCCGGTTTGTTTTCGTTCGTGACAGATGGGTTCTACGGGAGGTTAGGCGCGTGGGGGCGGGTGGGGGACTCGATCGCGGGGTTTTCCTTGGTTTTTCACGGCTGAGAGGGAGGTGGGAGGAAGTACCAAAGAAGTACCAAAAAAGACCGGGTAAGGTGGGACGAAAATAAAACCCGGAACGCGACCTACCAACTGAGACATTAGGAGTAGAGATATGCGACAGTCTCCCATTTGCTGCATCCTAACTCCATATATGCGACAGTCTCCCATTTGCTGCATCCTAACTCCATATATGCGACAGTCTCCCATCGGTATGCTCACTCAAGTGAAGGATCTCTGGCCGACGGAGGCAAGGTATGCCGCCATATCCATCTCATACCCGTGCAGGTTATTCCAAGAGTGCCCCTCGCCTGCCACCTTGTCAACCACTTCCTCCCGAAGGTTCAACATGTAGGTGCCGTTGTGCCCGCTACACTCTCCCATGGTGAATAACAAGATCCCGCTCTTCTCGCCAAACCACCGCAGCTTGATCGCAGGGGGGTAGTATGCCACGTCCATCAGCTTCCCCATCTGCTTCATCGGCACGATTTCACGAAAGGTACATATCTTACCGGTGTGGATGTCGTCTTCATGTGCAAACTTGAGATAGGTTACCTTAAGCACGAGCTTCTTCCACATGTTTATGTTTGGGATTGCCCTGAAACAACAATACATCAAGAAAAGCCGATTGCCCGATGAGACGCCCATCAGGCGGTTGTTTGGGCTAAATTTTGAGGTGTCACACGGCACGAGGTGCATGTCCATTCTATGGTCATGATCAATCCGATCCAGGCGCACCCCGAACACGCCTTGCTCGAGAGCCCAGTATGCCACCCCACGGTGTACCACGGCAGAGACGATGTTGCGGATCTTGAAACTAGGTATCTTGACAATGGATTCAATCTCCGGTCCCCAGCGGCCCGTGTCCGAGGAGTAGCACCGGAGCACCGTGGACAGCCCACCGCGGCGGTGGTGGTCGCGGTGATGCTGCGACAATGTGCTTGGATGATCACGGCGATGCTCCAATGAAGGCCCGATTGCTTCGATGATGTTGCGACGGCGTTCTTTCCTGTTGTGGTAGTGTTGCGACGATGGCATGGCTGTTTCTACAATACTACGATGGCAGGCCAGCTTCGACAGCCGCGACGGCGACGGCTATGGCAGAGGCGTCAAGGATGCTGCTCTAAGCATTGCTATATCCAAGCAAATCAGGACTCCGTAAGCTTGCTAGTACCAAATTCAACAAACACCTACAATCAAGAATATGTTATTTTTAATGCCGTTTAGTGCCTGTGTTGAGATTATCTGCAGCATTGCAGCATCACGTGCATGTGTAGGTACGTACTAAGCACTACTAGTGAAGTACGGCTGACGAAGCCAAACTTAATCCGACTGTTTAATCGTTTTCCTATGGAAATCGGATCCTAGTTTGTTTTACGTGAAGTAGTCTCGATTACGACGTGGGATGTGACTTGTATTCCAACCGTATAGTGGACTCCTAATCCTAATGCGCAAAGGGATTCCTTCCCTGAGACGAGCTATGCAGGTCGTTTGGATCAATATAAAGCAGCGACGACGGTCGCCATAGAAGTTGCACGCGCAACGCATAGACATATTTGTGTCTGATCGGTCGTGCGGAAGATGAGCAGTCATAGGCTCTTGCTGCTGCTGGTGGCGTTCACGGCACTGCTTGCGTTGACAACGGCGGCGGAGTACAATGTGGTTGACTACGGCGCAAGGCCTGATGGCGGGACGGACTCGGCGGGGGCGTTCCTGGCCGCGTGGGGTGCGGCGTGCAATGACACAGGGCGCTCCGGCTCCCGGCCGGTGCTGCGCGTGCCGGCGGGCAGGTTCCTGCTTAGCCAGGCCTATTTCAAGGGGCCCTGCCGGAGCGCCGGCGTGGTCGTGGCCATTGACAACAACGGCACCGTCTTCGCGCCGCCGGCACTAGACAGCAAGGCGTGGATCATGTTCCACCACGCCGATGGCCTGGCGATCCGCGGCGGGACGCTAGACGGGCAGGGGCAGGAGTATTGGGCGTGTAAGAAGGTCGGCAATTGCACGGGTCAAGGCCCCAGGGTGAGTGATGA